TGCTTTTCCTCTTGAAGTGGGGTCTTTGTTGCCACAAGAAACATTGGAATGCAAGAGTGAAATATTTACTCTGTGCTTTAAAGATTGGGGGAAATGTTAACAGATGTTGGCCATGTTAATTAAAGAGCATATGTGGTTTAAGTGTCCTGGTTTATCCTCAGCTGGAAACCAAACCCCACGTGGGCACACACGGGATGGGGGGAGAGGCAGCAGAGCCAGAGTGAGAAACCTCGTGGGTTGAGTTAAAGACAGTTTAACAGCAAAGCAAAAGCTGTGCATGCAAGCACAGCAAAACACAGAATTCATTCCCCATTGCCCGTGGCTGGGCAGATGTTCAGCCGTCTCCAGGAGAGCAGGGCCCCCGTCACACAGAGGGGGTTTGTCAGGAAGACAAACTCCATCACTCCAAATGTCTCCCCCTTCCTCCTTCTTCCCCCACTTCATCCTGAGCATGATGTCATAACGTGGAATACCCCTTTGGTCAGCTGGGATCACCTCTCCTGGCTGTGTCTCCTCCCAGCTTCTTTGTGCTGCCCACCCTTCTCCCTGCTGGGATGAGGAGCTGAAAAGTCCCTGGCTCTGTGAACCCTGCTCAGCAACAACAAAACATCTCTGTGCTATCAACATTCTGATCCTGAATGCAAAACACAACACTGTAACAGCTACTATGAAGAAAATTAACTATATCCCAGCCACATCCAGCACAGTGTAGTAAATGATATGCAAAGTTATCTGCTGTGATACAAAAGCCTCCCTCCAACAAAAACATACCCATGTTTCAAGCCATCAAAATGTTTTTCCTTCTCCCTGGTCTGTTCCCGTGGGACAATATGTCCCATCTGCCCAGAAGTCTGTTCTTATGATCTGTTCACCTCACTGCTGTAGACTTTTTTGGTCTCTATGATTTGGCATGGACTGTATTTTGCTAGAACAGTGGTAGCACAAAATGCTCAGGCATTACTCAGCCCTCTGGGGTTTCAGTCATGCTATTTAGAAAATTTATTAAATCTTTTGATCAAGCTTGAATGGTTTTAATGATGCTGTGACTGAATCCACCCAGATTGCAACAGAACATTACAGTTTTCAACCATCAAATTATGCAGAAATGGTAAAAAGGTGGCCTGCAACTGAGATCTTGATCCTCAAAAATCTTCCTACTCAGAAAGGAAATCAGGGACAATTTTTCGTTGTACCTGCAATGCAACAGTCCATCTTGGTTCTACAAAGCAATTAAGTACCTCATTAACTTTAAGCACCTGCTTAATTCCCATGGCTTTGAAACCAGTGGGAGTTAACCACTTGCTCCTGAATTTGTGCAGGAAAAACATGCTTGTTTAAACTTGAAGGAAAAAAAAAAAAAAAAACCCAGAGAATTATGTCTGCTAAACTTCTTATAATCTGGTTTAATAAACTTTATGATATTCAAACTTCATCTTTGTTACATAAAGAATAAGACTGGGGCCCAAATGCATGCTGACATTTAGGTAATGTCATCAAGCAATGCATCAGAAATTAGGTGGCCACAGCAGTCTATTTAGAATCTGAAATTATAATAATCTATATTCATCTCATTGCTACTACAAAAGCCGGGGGGGGGAGGAAATGCAGTTTTCTTGATGAAGTCTGTGCTCTTAGGAAACTAATCAAAATATTTTTACTCAACAGGATGTTCTTTCTTTTTGAGTTTTACACTGAGGGCTCCAAAGATTTGCTTGAAAAACCTGAGGTTTATGTCAAGAATGCCAAGCTGGTGGTGGCCAGGTGTTTTACAGTTTTCTAAACACACTCTCATCCAATGTGTCAGCCTCAAATTATCTGTGTTCTCACTGCAGAAACAGCTGATGAAAGACAGATTTAGGCTACAAAGGTGTAACAGAGACTCTTCCAAACTGCACCAGGTAAATCATGTGCTGAACTAAACGTGCCTGTCACACATGGGTTGCAAACAACTCCATGGCATTCCCTGCCAACCCTAACCAAGGGGAGATGGAGGGGTTTCAGCTGGAGACATCCTTAGGAATTTCCATCAGTGAGACAATGATGAGGGAGGGGAGAACATATAAGAGCAACCATGACCTGTGAACTCCTGCCTGCAGAGACAGGAAACAGCACTATGATGTATTTAGCAGAAAATAAAATCTACAGTGCTAAATTTCCAAGAAATACTTCCTGATGAGTTGTCAAGGAACAGAATGATGAAGCCACTAAACTACCCACAGCCACCCTTACACTGACACCCATATCAAGGGCTTTCATTTTACATTGTGAGCTTCATTGTGATGCAGCAATATATATATAACAATAAATAAAAGATGTCCTCTAGGCTGCTGAACACTTCAAAGGACATGTCTGAAAGTTTTCTCCCTTCTATTTTTTATTGTCTTGGATATCTGAACAGGTATTTTTTTGCACAACACACTGATCATAGTGCTTCCCTCATATAATATATTCACCTTCACAGGTGATTAGAGGACTTTTTAGGAACCTTTTTTGATCTGAACAGTGAGATAAAAACTCAATTCTCAGACAGTGCTGCTTTCAGCTGTGAAATCAATGGTGCAGCGTGTGACATCTAGTTTGCTTGACTATATGAGTAGTCACATAAGCCCCAGTATCTCACCCACAGCACTAAACCCTTTTCTACTAGCCAGGAATTCAGTCTTAGGCATAAAACATTGAAAATCTGGCTTATTGTTAATTTTTACCAGCATTATCACTTAAATTAATCAGTAGTGGATCAATAAGTCTTCCACCAAGAGTGAGGCATTTTCATGTCATGTACCATTTGCAACATGTTCTTTGTTTAGCTTTCCAAATGTAAATTAACTTTCCCAGTAAACTTTTCGAGCAGTACACTCTCTTAAAATGTATTGTGAACACTGCCTCTCAAATGTGTCTGCACTGCCTTAACAACAAAAGACAGAGAAAAGCTGCTGAGGAGAATCCAAAGGGCTACTGGATTAAAATTCATGAAGGGCAGTTTCTCCCCTCAGTGTCAGAAGTAATTGCATATACACTGAACATTAGAGCAGTTCCAGAAGTTGCAAACACATTATAAGCAGGAATTCAAATGCGTTGCAATCCTTCACATCTGCTTCCATCTTTCTGCATTTGTCCACTTATTTCTATCCTTAAAACTGTTATGGAAGTGTTCATATGATTTGGGTAACAGTCTAGATCAGAAGAACTTAATTATTTCCAGTGCTGGAGATGCAGTAAGAAATATGTTTCATAAAATCAGTGTGGATTATTTACCTGCTGATGTCATGTGGGAACAGACCGACTGGAAAAAAGTCCTGTAGTGATTCCTAAGCCACAGACTGAACAGTAAAATATAATAAATACTCACATAATTCACATTTTTCTATCTATCTTCATAGGGGCTTTTTGCTGTTTAGTGAAAACAACCTATATTGAGCACATATAGCTTCTATTTAGACTCTTGGTACAAAAGCTTATTACATTTACATCACAGTGTGTTAAACATTCACAGGGAAGCTTCCATGTAGAGCACACTCCACCTCTTCCTTACTTTTTAAAATGTTTTGAAAACAAATCCATCATATTTAGCATTTGTACACAGTGCTCAGCCGACAGGCTTAAATGTTACTGAGGGACAGAGGTGGAACAAGCCAGACTGCAGCCCTGCCTGTTGCATCAATCTGAAAGTCAAGGGCACCATTTCTAGTGTGGGAGAAAATAAAGTATTTTTTTTCCTAAAAGAGAGAAGCAAATTTTTTTTTCCCTGAGTTTTCCAACAAGGAGAACAGCACAGGACAAACACCATGGGCCTACTTTTGATATAAGGACCCTATATGGTACAACTACAACCTACACGTGTGTGCACATACACATGTGCCAGATTAAAGTATAACACACAAACATTGGTTTTACAGAAATATAAATACAGATTTACATCTTCCAGGTAGAAGCCATTCCTACTTTTTTTGGAAGGGAAAGGTGGCCACTGACACCAGTTTCATGCTGGTATTTCGCAGTAGAAGAGAAGGCACCTCTTGCCTACCTATTTGAATTAGGTACTTTTCTCAACTTTAATTAAATTAAATGATCTTTGAGGAGTTTACTACGAAAAGAACAAAAGAGGGGGAAAAATAAATGAGGAAGTGGAATTTAACACTATTTTATTGCATGTACCATCATGTCCTTTGCCTTCATAATATCTACCAGTAAAAAGCTTTCTAAAAGGGAAAATTAATTATTTTCTTCAAAGTTTATTAATTAATCATATCAGTTTTTATGAGAGACTGATTATTTAATTTTAGTCATCAATGGAAATGTTGAGCTTCTTAATATCAGACTGAAGCCATTTAAGAAAAGAACATTAATTGGTTTCATTCCAAAAAGCAGGTGGAAAAGGCAATTTAATGATCTACCACAGGCAGCTATAGGCCCTGATCTCATGTGAAATACCATTAGTGCCTTTCTTTTGCATGACTGTGAGTTAGAATTCAACTGTTCTGAAAGTTACTTTGTGGCCTACCTGAAACGAGCTGATGGTCTCACTCGACTTCCCAATGTTCAGGTTCCACCAACACGAGGGTACTGTCAGACTGACAGTTCTGACATCACTGAGAGCAGGTTTATCAGGTAACAACAATTTGATGGGCATGGAAACCAAACGCTCCTCTTGACCCCATGGGTGCCTCTCCTTGAGGCACCCACGGGAAACTTTATGGGACAACTGAATTTGCAATAACACCCCGTGGTCTTGTTCTGTGGAGAAGCCAGATGACTTTAGTTGTCCTTCCTTGTTATTTTCTTCCCATCTGTTACACATGCATTCTGCAAAGCCCCCTTGGTTGCCTGGGAAGGTTAAGATGAGAACTAGAGCTGTGTGGGGGTGTGGATGTCTGAGAGGACAGAGATGTGCTGGCATGGACATGTACATGAATGTAGCATGTAAAATATGAGTGCTTTGACAGAATGCAGCACAGATTAGATGTCTGAGTGTGCAGAGAACTGCCAGGACAAGTTAAATGTACAGCAGAATAAATTATGTGCCCCAGGGCACAGGACTGGAAGAAGGGTTTGCTCTGATGTCTATCCCTTTTTTAAATGTTAGGAAAAACAAAGAGAGCCATGCAAAGACAGGGACACACGTTATTAATGAGCACGATACTTTTAAATAATCAAGCAAAAGCATCAGTAAATGTATCTGAGGCAGTTGAAGAGAAATTATGTCCCTGAGTGTTATTTTCCTGAACATCTACAGTGACAAAACTCGCCAATTAGTTATCCTGAGAAAGCGTTTAGCACCTTCTCAGGTCACTTAAAAGTGAATGTAGTGACTCTGATGTACTATAATTAAGGAAGATAACAGTGTCAAAGTTGGAGATATTGAAGGCAAAATATTGAGTCTGTTTTCAAGTAGCTGAGTTATAGAACTCAGAAAATTTGGTTCTTTTAGTAGGACAAATTCTACCTTCTGGTACTGCTCCTCCACAGAATGTTCCTGCATTATACCCCCTGAAAAAAAAATATTCCAGCAGCTAGGAGCTGAAATGTTTTACACCTTTCAAACTCCACTAAAGAACATGAAGATCAAAGAAAAGGTAGGGAAAAGCTGTTCCCTGGACAGCACAGGGGTAATCAGAGTCCTGCAGTGCCTGGTTGAGAAATGTCTCCAGGTGACATTACCCCACCCCATCCGTGGAAGGCAGCCATGCAGGCAGATGTTGATGTTGACTGGCTGCATTTATTCTAAAGAGTGACATCCGTCTTCTGCCAAGCATGAGATGTGTGTCTGCATCTGTTCATCCACTCAGGGAGTAAGGGTAGGACAGAAGAAAGGGCTGCCACGAAATGAAATGTTAATTAGTATTTCACAAGGCTCAGCCTATCATAATTCCCCCTGAAGGCGATGAGGGCTGTGCACTTACCAAAAACAGATCAAAATTAGGACTAAGGTCTGATTGTTATCTGTGGGCCCTCAAATAGCTGATGACAATAAGCATCCACTCTGCAAGGCCACAGATATTTATGCTCAATATCCACACACACAGACACATTACACATGCTCATCACTGTGTCTGTAGTGTACACACACCTTCTGCCTCCAGATCCTGCTCTTCTTACAAAACACAAGGAAAACAGAACGTTAAACTCTCATGTTCAACTTACATGTTAAACTTCCTGTATCAGTTAAATGCAAAGATTAAAGGAACATGAGCTTAAACAACCGTGGACCTGGAATGAATATATTCTCATGGCACAGTTCATGGGGAATATCAAGCTGATTTCCAGTATTATCATTAAATAATGTGATGCTTGTAGAGTTCACTCAAGGGTCTGAGACATACAAAACTAATTTATTAACATACCCCTCATTTTGTAGCTTAGAAGTTGACTTTACGTTGTATCATTGCTTTCATTTAGGTTTTAAGGGGCTTCAGGGCACCCAGAACAACTGCCAACAATTTGTATATTTGCACATTTATATGGTCAAATGTGAATACAGCTTCAAGTGCTACTTTACTGTTATGGATAGATGTATATAATGCACTTATATAAATAAGTGCATCATTTCTCTGACCAGTTTGGTTAACAATTGTCTGTCCTTTTTCTAATGTGTTTCTAATCCTGTGTTATGTTCTCTTCTCCTTACTGGGCCCTGTAGCCCTGCTGAAGGTGGAAAGAAAATTGCCCAAATCTCAAAGATGCTTAAAAAATAATTTAAAATACTTTAAATTTACAGTATTTAATTCCCTTCCCCCCAAAAAAATAAATTAAGCTGTATCCTAAAACAAGGCAGTGAAACATGACCATATTGATTAACTTCTTTCCATACCTTAGCTACAGATGTTCTGCTCTTTCACCAGTTTTTGGACTCCATCCATGTAACATTTCTACTCTTCAAACCATCCAGCTCCAACAGATGCAAGTGTGGCTGATTCTTGACCACGTATTTTGAGGATCTGAAAGGATATTCTGTAAGATCATGCATTTGCCTTGATGTACATACAAACCATGTAAACAAAACACCTTATTTTAAGATTTCATGGTGTATACCTCGAAGTTGTAAAAGGAAGTAGGCCATTTTTAAGTTTCATGGGTAGACAAAAAGCTCACGTCTGTGTTTTGAAGGCAATTTCCTGGCTAAGATAATGCCCAGCTATTGGCAAGAGGTAACAGGTTTGATGACCCACTGAATTCACAACAGGGGCACTGATGAATGTGGCTCCAAGACACAATAAATTAGTAATAACCTCCATTATTATACCCCCAAACTAAAAGTAAGAATAACTTTTCTGCCAGAAGGGGATACACAGTGAGTGTAACACTGTATGTTTGTTCTGATAAATCAACGTTTTAATGGCATCTTCTGTACATTTTGTCTTCATTGCATGAACTGCCAGTTACCTACAAAGTCTTTGCTTCAGTATTTCATGTCTTTTATGTAAATATTTGATTTAATAGATGCATGGTTTTTATTGGTTTGCTTTGTATAGTTTTGCTGAGTTGCATTGTGCAGTCATTAAAAATGAATAGCCAAAATAAAAATATTTCATATTGGAAACCATACTTAAAAATTAATGGTGTTTTAGCAAAAAACTGTTTCCCACAATTTCACAGACACAGCAGAAGCTTCATCAGGGAATGGTTAATCAGCTGAAGACAGCATTTATCTGTGCCCTTTCTACATTGGGTAAAAATCCCTACAGTTGCTTAAGGTATAGAGGATTTCACACACAGACCAGACAGTGCAAAGGTGGATTAAAACTCCCTTGTCCTCTGCAATGTGCTGCCAGCTGGAGGCCCAGCACGTAATTCCCTTCCCCTCACAGTTCTCAAGAGAATCGAAAATAACTTTCTACAAATTCCTGTGCTTTGGACAAATTACAGTTTCACTTCGTATGTGGATGACAACAGTAACTCCATTAGACAAACTATTCAGGATATCCAACAGAGAGCAGAAGATGAGTCTTGGTTCAAGAAAACTAAAGAAATGTGCCACAGATTGTGCAAACTGGATTTACATGAGGCACAGAGCCCCAGTAGCCTGATTCCTCACTGGATTCCTTTATGGATGCACTGCAAGCCAGAGAATCCCTTAGTCACAACAGGACTTCCTCACTGGTGAAGTTACTGAAGGGATTCACTGTGTATTTTAACTGGTGTATGTGGGGGAAAAAAAGTATTTTGAAGGGTACAAACTGTTATTTAGCACACTGGAAAATAAAGAGTGAAATAATATGGGCAGTGATTATCCCGCTGCTGATTATATATTCTTAATTGCTCACAGGCATTTGTAGGCCAGTATGTGAAAGTCTTCATAGGGACAGGGAGATAAAGGGAGAGGAAAAAAGAAAAAAAAAAACACACAAAATAACCTAAAATAAAGGCAGATAAATAACCATGAGAAGAATTGGATGTCCAGATATGACAAAAGCAATTGGAGATGGCAGTCCTGGAGTCAGATTCCATGCTTAGGGTAGGAAAGGTTGATTCTCTCCTGAACTCCCTGCCACCACCATTGCCTGTCTTTTTTATCCCCTTAAATTATACTGAGCTAAGCAGAGAAAATGGCAGCTGAGATTCTTCTCATGAACAGGTTTAGATGAGGCAAATCATACATCCCCTTATTTTCACAAGGGATCAGCTTCAAATTCAATGTACTGTATGATTTTCAGTGAGTTTAACATATGATTAGGAAAGTTCAGCTATTCCATTTGGAAACAGTCCAATTCACATTCCTCATCCTTGCACAGAGTCCTGCTTTGCAGTCTCAGACCTTTCACTGGGGTGGACTTCTCTGCATCTGCAAGTCAGAAGGGCAGTGATTGATTACTGAAATTCTCGAAGTACATAGTGAACATCAAACAAAAGTGTGTGCCCTGTTGGTATTGATTTAGAACTGATGATCTCATTAGAAAGCCCTAATTCTCAACATTGCTTTGGTTTACACAATCTTTAATTTATTTTAAAAAAGCTGATTGGTCAACTATTTCAGCCTCATGGCTGTCTTCTCATCTTACCAGACAACCCGCTTTAGTCTTTGAGCATTTAAAAGGTCATTAATCCAAATGCTAATGCAATCAATACTATGTTAAACAAATTATAAAAAGTAAATTAATATTAGGTAACCCAGTGCATTGTGCCATAAGGTTTTAAAATGTGCTTATTGTCAGCACACATGAAGTGATAAATTAAAACAGTGCAATTTAAAAAAAAAAAATTCCAAGAAGCTATTAAAATTACTTTCTCTGTTATCTAAACCCTGATTCATGGTGAAAACCCTAAGGAAAATATATATAATTTACTTATTGGTTGAGCTAGCTTTTACCCTGATGCTATTTTTCACAAAATCATATGTATGTAAAATTGAATTTTAAACACAACTTTAAGTGGAATTAATTTGACCTTAGAACACTTGGGTCTAATGTTCTGTGGGTGGAGGGTGGTGCCCTGTTAAATGGAAATGGAGAAGGAGACCAGACTTGGCACACACCTCTATTTCAGACTGGAAAATCCCATAGTTTATATACAAATACATAATATTTTCTATTCTGAGAACATAAACCTCCCCTCAGCTATCTTATCTAAGCTGGCCCAGTTAGCCTGCATATTAATATAGAATCATGGTGTTCCCATATTCATAAATAGTGGTTTTGTTGATGGTGTACTTGTAACCAGCCCTGTTCCATAGGTCCTGAATCTGAGCAGCCAGGAAGCAGTGCTGTAATAATTTACACCTCACAGAGATGGTGGCACGAAACCAGCATTTGCTGAAAGGTTTGGAAAAAATATCCACATTTCGAAATGCATTTATTTTACAGGCTTTCAAAGAAAAAGCTAGTTGAGAAATCAGTGTATATCCACCCTCCAGCATCTATCCATCTTGCATCCTGTGGATTTTAAGTCTGAGGCACGAGGAAAAGTTTATTCATTTTGTTAAAACTTGGATAATAAACACTGAGCTCTTGCAGCTACACTCGTAAAAGCTTTTTGTCTTTTATCATCACTGGAAAATCCTGTATATTTCCAGGGCTTGCCTTTGCAGCCTCTGTGCTATTTACCTTCCTTCTCGGATTTTCTGGCTGTGTCCATGTCATTGTCTGAATTGCTCCTCTCTGCACCTTTGTCTTGAATGTTAAAACAGTCAATGTGGACTGTCAGTATACTGTGATTCCTTTAAAATGCCTCCAGTAGCTGATACTGATCATTCCTATTGAACAGTTGCTAAAAACCACCCTTTTGGCAAAGATAGGTATCTTATTATCACTGACATTAATTTCCCAGTTACTGGCTGGACCAGCTTTTTAGGGTTTCTGTGCTCACCTTCCAGGCCCATCATTAGCCTGGCTTTCTCCTGCTCTGCCTTCTGCTAACAAATCTGTCAACACAAACTGCCAGCTGAAGGGTTCTGATGAAGGATTTGGGGGAAAAAACACCCTAAAATCAAAAAAACCCAAAAGGCTCACAAATTTTAACCACTAAAAAATAGAAAGGGTCATAATTTGTATCCACGAAATAAACACTGCTTTTGCTTCTGTAAAAATGGAGTGTGCAGACTTCAATATTTGGCTCTTCAACTACTGACTTCACACCAACAGCTACAGTTGTACCAAAATGCAGCTGTGAGAGTATTATTTGGGATAGACTGCTAAGGAAAGAAAACTGTGTTTGATAAAGGTGAAAATTCCCTGTAGAAAACAATGTTGCACAGATTATTGCTATATAATGATGGCAATCTCAAAAAATCAGAGCCAGCAATACAACTGAAGTGAGTGACCCCTGTTAAGTCCAAAGAAAGAACAAAATACGGACTGATGAGAAAATCTCTTGTTAGAGAAAAATAGTGTTTGTTTACAGAATCCTCACCTTATGTACTGTATCAATTTCCTTGTAGTTGCTCTTTCCCTTGTAATCATTAGTAAAACACCTTTTTAGCAGGCCAGAAGCGTGGAAAAGGCCTGTGGAATGAATGGAAAAGTGTGTGCCAAGTTTGGTTTGGGTTTATAAACAAAAACAGCCCAATGTAAGCTGCTCTAGTTTCAGGACAGTTTGGCTGAAGAAAGAATATTTTAGTGGATCCACGCTGGGCTGCAGTGGATTAGCTTTTGACCAGCTGGCAGCTGACATGAAGGCTGTGACCTGTATGGGTGCAGGTGAGTATTTATGGCTCAGCAATGATTGCTTGTTCTACCTCATCATAGAATCATTAAGGTTGGAAAAGACCTCCAAGACCATCAACTCCATCCTTTGGCTGAATCCCACCAGACCCACTAAACCACACCACAAAGTGCCACATCCACCTGTTTTTTGAACACCTCCAGGGATGGTGACTCTACTGCTTCTCTGGGCAGCTCCTTCCAATGTCTGATCAATCTTTCAGTGAGGAAATTTTTCTTAATATCCAACCTGAACCTCCCTGGAGCAACTTGAGGCTGTTGCCTCTTGTCCTGTCACTGGTGGTCTGAGAGAGGAGACCAATACCCATCTCACTGTAACATCCTGTTGGGGAGTTGCAGAGCCAGAAGGTCCCCCCTGAGCCTCCTTTTCTCCAGGCTGAGCCCCCCCAGCTCCCTCAGCTGCTCCTGCTGCTCCAGCCCCTTCCCCAGCTCCATTCCCTTCCCTGGACACGTTCCAGTCCCTCAATGTCTTTCATGTGATGAAGGGCCCAAAACTCACCCCAGTATTCAAGGAGGGGTCTCAGCAGTTCCAGCACAGAGGGACAGTCACTGCCCTGGTGCTTGCTACCACACTATTGCTGGTACAGGACAGGTGGCCCTGGCCTTGTTGCCCACCTGGGCACACCCAGCTCATGTTCAGCCAGTGATGATGATGACCAGCACCCCCAGGGCTTTTCCAGATTTCCAGTCACTCCAATTGGCCTCAGCCCTTGGATCCAGCCCGCCCAGATCCAGATGACGCACTGGGTGCTTTGTTTCGTGGAGTAGGCCTAGGACATTTT